CTAAGAAAACCACCTGCTTCGGTTTGGGCACCCGGGCAGTATCACAGCCCACACACAAACAAATGAATGAAATTATGAACTTTATTGACGATATCCCTGGTCATACTAAAAGCAAAACAATTAACATTATTATTATTATTACCTTTATTATTATTATTATTATTATTATTATTATTATTATTATTACTTACCATATCGCTAATTCACCCCCTTTTATCCCCAATTTGTGTAACCTTACTCTTCAACTTATGCAGCAGCTCGCTCTTGGTGGAAAATCTGTCCTATCTAAACGATCTCCAGTCACTGTCTGGTTGAAAGTGAATGCTTCCACCGATTATGAATACTGAGGCAGTCTTTCTGAAACCACGTACGCCGTTCAAGCTGGCTTCCTTCAACGTTCGCACACTAATGCAGATCAGACAACAGATAGGGCTGGCTATGTCTTTGGAAGGTCTTAATGTTGACGTTTGTTGTCTATCCGAGACCCGTATTCAAGACTCTAGTGAAGTACTACAAATCCGCTCTCCATCTGTCGCCTCGAAAAGCTTGTTCCACGTGCGCTTATCCGGGGACCCTGTGGCATCTTCGTCTGGTCTTGCTGGCGTTGGTGTCGCACTAAGCGCTAGAGCTGAGGCAGCACTAATCGATTGGATCCCCATTAACAGTCGGTTATGTGCTGTTAGATTAGAAAGTTCCATCAAAATGAGAAGAAATCGGCGTGAGAAACGGTGTCTTTTCGTCATCTCCGCCTATGCCTCGACAGATTGCAGCCCGGATGCAATCAAGGATGAGTTTTACCACCAGTTAACAGTTCTTCTCCAGAAAGCGCGTTCGACAGATATTGTAGTACTAGCCGGAGACTTGAATGCACAGGTCGGGCGTCTAGGCGTAGAAGAGAGTCGTCTAGGTGGCCGATGGGGACTTGTTGGTCGCAGGACAGATAACGGGGACCGTTTGCTGCAACTGTGCACAGACCACAACCTGTTTCTGGCCAGCACTAACTTCCGGCACAGTCATCGCCGGTGTGCCACCTGGCGTCCTCCCTCTGCATCCCAAGCCTGGACTCAGATTGATCACATCGCGATCAGCTACCGCTGGCGTGGTTGTGTACAAGACTGCCGCTCCTTTTGGAGTACCTACCTGGAGTCTGATCATGCCCTGGTCTGCGCCAATCTCACCTTACTTTTCAGTGGCCGAAGGATTGACCACCACCAACGGATTGATATTAGTAAACTGGCTGCAACTTCTGTTGCAAGTAAGTATCGAGCGGAGCTAGCCTCTAGGCTAGCTACCACCCCACCGAAAAGTATAGGTAAGCATTGGTTGCATCTTCATGACGCCATGAAAATGGCGAGTAAAGCCGCTTGCGGCTTCGCGAAACGTCCCGCTTACAAGCACTGGGTTTCTTCTGGCTCCTTACAACTGATGGAAGCCCGTCGGTCTACTCCGGGTGACCGTGAGTTTGACCACAAACGAAGGCTGTTACGTAATGAAATCGGGCAAAGCTTGTGTAAGGACCGGGAAGCCTGGTGGTCGGAGCGTGCTAATGAGATGGAAGCAGCAGCTGCATCTGGTAACTGCCGGAAGCTCTTCCAACTCATCCGAGCCACTGGCAGCAAGAAGTCTGAATCTACGAGGATGATGGGATGCCAATCTACGAGGATGATGGGATGCCAATCACAAATATCTCTCGACGTCTTGGACGATGGGCGGAATTTTTCGAAGGGCAGTTCAACTGGCCTGCTGCTCCGGCAACATCAACCAGCTTGTCCTGCTCCCCATGGCCGGTGACGACTGATCCACCAAACGAGGCGGAAGTCCGCAAGGAACTCCAACTCTTGAAACGTTATAAATCACCTGGCCCAGATGACTTACCTCCGGCTCTTTTTAAAGATGGTGGTGACTTTCTGGCTAAGGAACTGACTGCGTTGTTTGGAAAGGTTTGGGAGCAAGAAAGTGTTCCAACATTTTGGAATGAGTCAATAGTCGTCCCTATCTTTAAAAAGGGTTCACGTTGTTCCTGTAGCAACTATCGGGGAATAAGTCTACTTTCGATCGCGTCCAAACTATTGGCTTCTATCATTCTTCGTAGGTTGTTTAAAACCCGAGAACGATTGACTCGCGAGGAGCAGGCTGGTTTTCGTTCTGGTCGAGGATGCATTGATCACATCTTCACCCTCCGCCAAATGTTAGAACACCGTCATACTTATCGCAGGCCAACAATCGTAGTGTTTCTTGATATCAGGGCTGCCTTCGATTCGTTGGACAGGACTGTTCTCTGGGATTGTCTATTGAAGAAGGGTGTGCCTGAGAAGTTCATTAACATCTTAAAAGCCCTGTATACGAACACCTCAGGCAGAGTGAGGGCATACAACCACCTTTCTCCCTTGTTCCATTCGAGCAGTGGGGTTAGGCAGGGTTGCCCGATCTCCCCATTCCTCTTCAACTTTGCCATCGACGACATCCTAGAAACAGCTCTGATGGATGTAAGTAATGGCGGTGTGGATATGTTGCCTGGAGAACGACTTCTCGACCTCGAGTATGCGGATGATATTGTCTTACTGTGCGATAATGCCCAAGGCATGCAATCAGCACTTAATCAGTTGGCAATCAGTGTCCGCAGGTACGGCATGTGCTTTGCACCCTCCAAGTGCAAAGTACTTCTACAAGACTGGCAGGATTCTCATCCTGTACTCACCCTGGATGGTGAGCAGATCGAAGTAGTTGAGAAGTTCGTGTATCTAGGTAGCTATATAAGTGCTGGTGGTGGCGTGAGTGATGAGATTGATGCACGTATAGTGAAAGCCAGAGCGGCTTATGCCAATCTGGGCCATCTTTGGCGCCTTCGTGATGTTAGTCTGGCTGTAAAAGGTCGGATCTACAACGCGTCGGTGAGAGCAGTTTTGCTCTATGCTTGTGAAACCTGGCCTCTCCGAGTTGAGGATGTTAGACGTCTCTCTGTGTTCGATCATCGTTGTCTCCGAAGGATTGCTGACATCCAGTGGCAACACCATGTTAGTAATGCAGAGGTTCGACATCGTGTGTTCGGGCGCAGAGACGATAATTCAATTGGTGTCACCATCTTGAAACACCGACTTTGGTGGCTCGGACATGTTTTACGAATGTCGTCCCAGAGACTTCCGCGTCATGCATTATTTGCCGACCCTGGGACTGGTTGGAGAAAGCGGAGAGGAGGTCAGTGTATGACATGGTGTCGTGGCATGAAAGAGAGCTGCAAAGAACTAGCTTCCGTTGGTCCTTCACGACTCCCTGGTTGGGGTCCGAGAGATAGTGCAACACAGTGGCTAGAGACGTTATCGGATATGGCTCAGAATAGAAGCCAGTGGCGATCCTGCTGCAACCTTCTTTTACTTTCTACATAAAGAATGGTTCTAACTTTCCTAACTGAAAGAATCTTCTGGTTGTACATTTCAGCCCGCCTTATCTTTTCATCCTTTATCTACCTACTTTCATTATTTTGTGTGGCGCATATGTACCTGGTGCCCTTTTGTACCAATATATATGTGTTTAAATAAAAAATAATAAAAAAAGTCCGCGAGAACTAGCCAACGGGTCGCCAGATACACGGAGGGTGTATTTCGTCGGCTGTCCATTTTGGCGAGGTGAGGTCAAGTGAATGACCACACTAGGATCCTGTATGCGTGTTTCGGAGACACAGCATACATCAATGGTACGAGATTCTAGGGTTTTAGCTAAGGAGGCCTGTTGACCGATTTGGTATAGGGTACGTACGTTGAAGGCTCCAATGTGTAGTTTGGAGCGAGGTTTAAGTAGACCTGGGACAGCGTTTCGCGCACTAGAATCGTTGGCCATGGTGACACTTGAGGAGGAAACCGGAAGAGGAAGTTTAGTGTTGAAAGTCAAGGTAGAGGGAATAGTAGGAATTGAAGAAGAAGATTGATTATGAATACAGTGGTCTTGAGTGCTGTTAGAGGTATGAGGGCAGTTATCACTTCCCGGTTGCCCACACCGTGGAAGGATTCTTCTAGAGGTACCTGAAAAGGAAATTGGGTTAGGAGTGGTCTTAATGACCTGAGAGCGTGACCGCAGTGCCCAAGGGACAACTGTGTTTGAGGCCGGTCACACACGACCTTTTTGTGGGTAGTTTTTGTGTTAGCTCCGTTCTTCAAAAAAAACCTTACCGCCGGAGACGGAAATCCGTGGGATAAGGCGAGGTGTGCATTTTTAGGGTCGACCTTTTCTAACCCCACCCCTCCTTGTGGGAAGGCAGCATCGCTGTCATGCTGGTTGTCTGAAGGAAACACCTTACTGCCGTCACACCTCTGTACAGTCAGCAGTACGACTTCGCCTTCGGACCTTGGGTTTGCTGCTTTTAGTCTCACCGCTCTTCAACCGACCTGTCTGGCATGGTAGGACCTCGAGGAACGACTGTTCCAGCCAGCATAGCTCGATTGCTTCATCACGATAGGCAAGCCCGACCACCACGTCAAGGTAGCAGCAACGATCGGGAATGAGGGACAATTAAATTTTCATGACTAAATGTGTTTGAAAAGATTAATAATTCACAACGTGAATAAATCATTTTAGTGAACCCCATCACATTTTATATGCAGCATAATTTTATTTTGAATGTCTTTCCAATTTCCGCTATGCCATTTGATAAGATCTTGATGTAGGTCCATACAAATTTACCAGGTGCATATCTAAAGGTACCGAATCGATTAACAGCAATTTACTTGTGATTAAATATCAGTCAGTGATGGTTTGAAAACAACTGGACTGGATTGTTAGTACATTTCAATAGATTTAAAACAGTTAATTTTTTTAGTCAATGTAGCATAATAAGGCTAACTAAATTGGACCAGAGTTCAATAATAAGTGTATTTCAGGAACTGTCAGAAATGCTTGAAACCCTTGTGCATATCGTACATTTGTTGAAAGATTTAAATGATTTGCCTTAGATTCTCAATTTATTGGAAAAAATAGATTAATTAAAAAAGTAAAACCAACAAACTTACCACTTTCAGGCGCCAAATAATTGACCACTTCAACACGATCAAAATAAATGACAACTCCACCACTGGTTGTATTAAGGAAGATGGAGAACAAAGATATACAATGAAGATACACTAATTAGTTTAATAGCTCAATAAAAATGAGTAAAAATATAAATGGACAATAATTAGCATGGTTAAAAACCCACACATCGCCTCGGAGTTAGTTAAACATCTGAAATTGCTTGTACGATAAAATTTTTGTTAACCAAAACTGATGTAATGTAGTTTGCATAAATACTGTGCAATTACAGGAGTCGTTCGAGCACCTGAAACTTAGGCATGATATTTATTAGTGTCCATTAGAAACTTGTACCTCGTACTTTTGTAGGAATATATTATCTTAAATAACTGGAACTTTGGAGTTTACTACCACAAATAAAGACATTACGCCCAGGGTTATTTAGATTGAAAAGGACTCCTTACGTAATAAGAATAGCGTACATCAACCGGTCATTAGATAATAACCATGATTATACTTAAATACACAGTGAATTTTACTGATCAGAACATTGGCTTTTATTCTGTCATCATTTTAGGAAGCAAAACTTTAACTTACAACTAATTAGAATCAACTCTAGAATGACAGTTTACAACAGCTTTAAAGTGTACACAACCACTAGTATTTTAAAAAAGATTAGTTTTTTTGGTTACACGGTAAATTTCAAACACAAAGCTAGATCTCAACAAAGAGAGTGATGTACTTTCTAAGTAATGATCAGATGAACGTATACACGTAAACAACGGGTAAACAGCATCGTTTATGAGATCGATAAAAAGCTAAAGTATTAGCAAACCTTGTAAAATAAGACATAGCGACAGACTTCCAACAGTGTTTAGAAACAGTAAAACGGAATGATTATGTGGTTTTCACCAGAAAGCTTTTCACAAGTAGTTCCCACCAGGAATATTTAATGTGATATATAAAACAGGAATAATTAAGTCTACAAAACCGTAAAATCTGGAGATGAGTGGTTGCTTCATTGGTAACTGAATTATATAATTATATTCCACCGAAAGCTAATACTGATTATAGTAACTTTGAATCTTAACATATTATTCCTACCACTTACAATTATTAATAATTGATAAACAAAACGATCGGGAGTCAGTATTTACAATATAGTGTCCTATTGTTCATTCTACAATTTAAAATGCGTTCTTTTATAGATATGAAATACAGAAGCAAGTAGCTTAGAGTGTGGCACAATAACTATGTCATTCAGCGAGAATCTCGAGCGTCAGTGCACAATGATTATCTTGATTAAATCGAGCAAAACTTTTATAACAGTTTGGCTTTTAGCTATATAAGACAAATCGAGACTATTTTTTGCTAAAATTACCTTGTACCACAAGGAACATTCTTTACTTCATCGGTTTGCAAAGTAATCTGTCAAACAAAATATTCTGAAAACGTGTAATACATGCCTGAACAGGTTTGTATGTGGTTATGATGGGAATCATCAGATGATAACCGGGTCCGTTGGTCTGAGAAAGTAGAGCACCACCACGGTAATAGACACCAACATGACCTGTCTTTGTAAATTTTTATTAAGGCACTAACCTTCATCAATTTGATGGAAGGCCATTCCGAGTAAAATACTCCATGCCGCGAAAACTGCTGCAAAAATCGGTAACAATGAATGGTAGTTATCCATCGCATAAAGCTTTTTGTACGGTGAATGTACTTAGTCAAGTGAAGCAATCTAAAATATACACGTCAACGTTAAAAATGGGGAACGTGGCCAGGTTGATCTATTGTTTAGAATAAAACACCACTAATCAAATTACAAACGTCGTGACAAAGGTCGGTGTGTGAGAAATATCTTAATATTCAGAATTTCATACTTTACAACACCTTTCACATTAGCATGTCTTCAACTTAAAATCTAGTGTGGACTCTAAGCAGTAATCTCGTGGGACAAAATGATGCAAGAACAGTGCTGCAGTATATTAGTGAGTGGGTACTGATATGAATAGTAGATGCTATTTAGTGGTTTAAGTATATACACATCATTAATATAATACTGGTCACTCGTCCAATTCAATCATTAGATAGCAAGTGGTACAACTAATTATCAGTCACATGAATAATAAAGACTTGGAGTGACATTAGGATGCATGAACTACCTATATTATGATGTCGGTAATGCACTAGGTATGTAATCTAGATATTGCGACTTATGCCACGTATATCTTTACAATACTAATAAGATTTAGTCAACATAATGATGAATCCGAACTCCTTATTTTTACAGAACCTTTAGGTATTACTGTTTACGCCGAAACATTTGCGGTACCTTCTAGAAACAGTATATTTCAGCCGAGAGGTTTTTAAGAGAAAGAAAAGTTTGATTTCACGTTTATTCACTCATTTCATAGCTTTTCAGTCTCTAAATTTGTAATACATTCCTTCAGTATTTATTTCACCAATTTATACTTTCTCGATTAGAAGGTTCGATCCCTAATTAGGGATCGGAGATATTAATATTTTTTCATTATCACTAACAGTTACTAGTCCTACTATATTGGGACTCGCTCTAACAATTTCATATTACAACGCTATTGAAGTAAGTCAACTTAAGCCGTTCCACACATGCATTAGGTTCCACGTTTTGTATGACTGATTGAATATTTGCATAAATTACTAATTAGTAATAATTAGTTAGAACACTAGTGCAACGAGCGATGCAATAAAAAAGCCAGTGTACCGGCATTAAAAATCACTACATGCGAAGTTACTAATTCGAGTTTGTTTTTCTTATTGCAGGGCAACAAAGAGTAAACGCACTGGAAGAAGAGGATCAAGCCCTGCGCGATCTGAACTTGCAGAACAAGAAATAAAACTATTTCGTAATAAGTTTCCCCTTTTTGTACTCAAACCGCTTCTTTTAATTTCAATAATATATCTGTGCTTATTGCACTCAGAATACTAGTTTTTTGCATATCAGTACTTTAATGTAAATTCCAGAAAAACACATGTACATGTTCAGAATATTATGGAGCAGGTGTACCGAGAACTCGTGCACTCGGGGAAACGGAAGACTGAACATGCGATTTACCAATGGTATTGGTGGCCGTTCATCCATGAAGACGTTGCAGATTTCTGATAAAAAATCGTAACACGTGCTATGCCATCAAGTCACCTCAAAAATATATAACCCATGCACCGCTAGTTTCAATGAGGACAGAATGTCCAAATCAGCGAGTTGGTAACGATATTATGGGGCCACTTACGACGTCTGAGAACGGAAACAGCAAGGCACGGTTTAAAACTCACAGCTTTTCAAAGGCTTCCGCCGTCTCCTTTTGACGACCTTGAAAGGCCGGAAAAGAGGCGGTCATTCTGTATTTCAATTGCTGAGGGTCTGATTGATGTCCGTTGGGTTGCATAAATGTCAGGTTTTCCTGCGAAAAAACCACGAAATCATTGCGAAGAACATTGATTTAGCTCTCTCTGCCTTGTAGTGCGCACGTTGAACAGATTGTTGCTTCGTAACTTCTCGATCACCCTATTTTTGGGCAAATTTTGTCCGGTTTGGGTAAATTTTGGCCGAGGGCGCCTTTTTCTTTTTTTATGGAGTCAAAAGATAAATGCTAGCAGATTGAACTGGATCAAGGATAAATTGTGATATGCCGATGTTCTTGCCGTCATAAGCTACTGATATATATAAGAAGACGAACACTTACACGTAAGTTTGGTCGATTGCGAAATGCAAACTGTATAGTTCATCATATTCTTAAACATTGTATTTGATAGAAGATAGATGACACTTACACCTTTCATAATAACAACAATTTTACTACCCAGACTAGGCAGATAGTATGTAGAGATTCAACGAAGCCAATTTCTACTTCAGAATCATCGATAATTAAGTAGGACTATAGTTTCTCTAACTCTTGTCTTTCTGTAATATTCTTCACGATGGAAAATATGGATCGGAATACAACAAAGTGTAGAGACGTAACAGGAACTGTCCACCATAAGTTCTTTGTAGTAGTATTTTTAACTTAACTATATATCCAACTTGTAAACTGATTTTTTCTGCATCGTGTTGCTGTTTCTGTACCAATGTTGATGATGCATCAATGAACTTTCGCCCAATTCTTATTTTCGTCTGCTTCGTTACTTCATAGGGAAATATACCGATAATCATAATGAGTAACTGTTTTTGAAAATTAAAAAAACTACTAAGTGCTTGATTTATAAGTACCAGTTTCGTCCCGAAAACTTGTAGTGCTGCATGAGGTTAGACGCTTCGCTATAGTGTTGCATTATATGCATAAGTCTCTTCACTATGACATTATATTCGGATGACTACTTGTGGTGGTGGTGTTTCTCAACTACAAGATCTTCGAAGCCAAACATACGATAACTAAAAAGACGTGTATTGGACGTGTAACACCTGGAAAAGTTCGGAAGTGATGAACTTGAAGACAATTAAGCAGATGACATGGCCTGGCCTTGCAGATGTACTCATTATGTTTAACTTATTTCCATTCGCATTAAATATATTATTCTATCCCCAGCATAAACTTGTCCTTTAGAAGTACTAAGTATCATAGTTAATTGTCATGATACTGTAGGACCAGAAAAATGTCACTTAACCATAGCCAAATCATCCGGCAGTTGGGTCACTGAATATCGAACAGATCATCGATCCCTGTCAAGGTCAAGGACAATCAGAGCGCATCAGTTGATCATACGCCATGGACTGGCCCATGCGTCAGTGGTTCTACTTCGCTTGTATCTACTTTAACTAATATATTCCTGTAATAACGTCCGTTTTGCTGTACAGTCTTCAGAGCATCCATGGTCACTTGATACGTCAATGGGGCAATCCACGTAAGGTTTTTGTCGCGAGGTGTGACTTCGAAGTTAGCTTGTTCATTACACCGTTCCCGTCTAACTCGAGTAAGCCTCCAATCATTCGACATAGATCATCAACGTCGATGGTCCACACTGGTGAGCAAGACTTCGAATAACGCAACCTATCATTATGATCTTTTTTTATTACACTCTATTCAGAAACATCTTATGGGTACATAAGAGCTGTAATTCTTATGTACCCATAAGATGTTTCTGAATAATTGTAACTATACAGATTTTGCATTATAAATGTTGTTAGTATGTATAATTATGGTATAGAGCCGCACTAATACTAGTTCGATAATGGACCAAACCCAAAAACAGTAAATTTTTCATGTGATTGCCTAATCTGTAAGTTCCTACATGGAAGTTGCATCATCATCTACACTGACTTATCGTATTGTGGACCATCAACGTTGGTGATCTATGTCGAATGATTGGAGGCCTACTCGAGCTAGACGGGAACGGTGTAATGAACAAGCTAACTTCGAAGTCACACCTCGCGACAAAAACCTTACGTGGATTGCCCCATTGACGTATCAAGTGACCATGGATGCTCTGAAGACTGTACAGCAAAACGTACGTTATTACAGGAATATATTAGTTAAAGTAGATACAAGCGAAGTAGAACCACTGACGCATGGGCCAGTCCATGGCGTATGATCAACTGATGCGCTCTGATTGTCCTTGACCTTGACAGGGATCGATGATCTGTTCGATATTCAGTGACCCAACTGCCGGATGATTTGGCTATGGTTCATTAACATTTCACTGGCCCTACAATACTTCCCCACCAGACTGAACGATCGTTTGAATCGGTACCAAACATGTTGAGAGTAGTCGCGCGCCGGAGGTTGCCAGACGAATAATATGAATCCTCCGAGTATTGCCGAGCTGTAAGACAAACGGAAAGGAGGCGGCAGAAACTGATCGGGAAACAATTATTAACACGTAGCTAAGACGTTGGTTGAATGTTAAGTCATCAACCATAGAAATAAAAAACATGACGTTTTAGAGTTTTATCAAGTCGCCTTGAAATAGATAGCTTTGACAAGTGATTGAGTTCCTCAGATGAGAAACGTTAAGTTTACCGCAAGAGTAGTGATGTCAGTGATGGTACGATAAGTGTATTATCAATCGATGCCGATGTTTGTACTGCCATCAGTTCAGAGTAGAAAGTCAGTAAGTGTTGTTGACAACTGTTCGTTAGTGTTGAATTCGAGTTATATCTATATTTATCAGACTAACTGTAAGTACAGAAGTATAACCATGAAGATAAGTCGTGATTTGTTGTGCAAAGCTTCTGATCCACTTGTAGTCAGTTTTAAATGCCGACGACTGCTGTTACAATCCATAAGGGTCGAAGAATACAGATCGAGAGCGAAGGTGGCATGATGAACTCTCTAAAACATGTTAAACGACGAGTGTTGCACGTTCGTTCGATGGGTGAACAGAACAATATCGAAAAAAACATAAGAAACCAAGAGTGTCACTCTGGACTCACATCAATGATATCAGTGAAAAATGCTGTCATCGTTGGGATAGGGACGACAATATCGTTGTTAGTTTGCAGGATACTCGCTCGACTGCGTAACTGATGATTCTCGTTAATAAGTATTGTCAAACCACCAATTGAACTGGACAGGCTTTAGATCGTCAAGTAGTTGAACACATGATTGATGTACCGAAATCATTTCTTAGATAACAACCACGCGGAAACAATACTTCATTAAAGCAATTAGTCCCTTTGATAAATTTCGATAATGCAATGAGAAGACGAAGATTATCAGAACTATGTGATATATTAGCGCAATACATTTCGAACAATCTGATCACACATATACTTGTTAAGAACATTTATATATAAAAATAAAAGGTCAACTAGACTGGAAAAGGGGTAAGAATAGACAAGGATAATAATGATAAAATAATGTGAAAACAATTTGACACCTAATCACTCTGGATAATAAGCATATATTACCAGGGTAGGTTTAAAGAGAGAACAAACTGTTTTTGAATACACAAAGGGGGGTTGAATTTTCGTATGGCTAAGGCTTCAACAAACCTTAGTATACGCCCTTTTACACTTTTAAACAACACCACAAAAGCCGAGTTTAGATCAATCTTATGACCTGTTTCGATTGATGGGGTCGCTATGGGTAGTCCGTTAGGACCATTACTAGCAGATGTGTTTATGGCACATGTAGAAAATTTATCTGAAGACTTAATCAAAAACATGTCACTTTATAAGAGATATGTAGATGATATCTTAGTAATTGGTGGAAGAAAGGAGGATATAAACTGCCTATTGAATAAATTTAATACTATCCAAAACCATATCAGTCTTTCATGTGAAGAGGAGAAGAACGACCAGCTTCCCTTCTTAGATGTACTTCTAAACAGACGAGAAGATGGCTCAATAAAACGATCCATTTTTCGAAAACCGACGTGGACGGGTCAATATCTTAGTTACTATAGTTATTGCCCTGTACAATACAAACGTGGTTTGGTAAAGTGCCTTTTTAACAGGCTTCGTCGTATTTGCACAAATGACGCTATTGATGACGATGTTAGGTTGTTAACCAAGACATTAATTGGGAATGGCTATCCACCTAAATTTATCAATAGATGGAAAGTTCAGGGCACAGCGAGACCTACTGTAGCCTTGGTAGAGAAAAAGCCTGTCTACATCACCTTACCATTTAGAGGTGATTCAAATAGCCTTTTATTGAAACAAAGGCTTAAATCTGTTATCAACAAAACGTATTGTGCTGCGAAAGTCATAATCAAGGAAATAACGAGGTCCATGCTTCATTCAAAACCTAGACGAAATGAAAACGATTGTGTCACATCCCACTGTGTTTACCAATTTAAATGTGTGTGGTCACACATACATAGGGAGGAGCAATCGTGATCTGAAAATTAGGGTGGGTGAACATGTACCAAAATGGTTGCAAAAACAAATACAGTCGAATGACCCAATAAGAGTAGAGGATAAACATCCATCATCCTCTATTGCTAAACATATAATCGAAACAGGTCATAAGATTGATCTAAACTCGGCTTTTGTGGTGTTGTTTAAAAGTGTAAAAGGGCGTATACTAAGGTTTGTTGAAGCCTTAGCCATACGAAAATTCAACCCCCCTTTGTGTATTCAAAAACAGTTTGTTCTCTCTTTAAACCTACCCTGGTAATATATGCTTATTATCCAGAGTGATTAGGTGTCAAATTGTTTTCACATTATTTTATCATTATTATCCTTGTCTATTCTTACCCCTTTTCCAGTCTAGTTGACCTTTTATTTTTATATATAAATGTTCTTAACAAGTATATGTGTGATCAGATTGTTCGAAATGTATTGCGCTAATATATCACATAGTTCTGATAATCTTCGTCTTCTCATTGCATTATCGAAATACTTCATTAGATAAAAATACGAGGTCGAAGTTGAATAACTACAATAGTTCATTTGTGT